AGATAGAAAAAAGGAATCTAAAGAGAAAGAGTTAAACTTAATGATAGATTATAGAATAAAAATAAGTAAGATTGATAAATAAATAATGAAATTGGTAGAAAAAATTCCAGAAACTTGTCAGAATATGTTTAACTTTTGTATGGGATCAATAAAGAAAGAACTAATTATAAAAATAACAAATTTTAAATATTGTGATAAGAAAATTAGAAAAGAAGTAAGAAGATAGATAATGAAAATATAGAAAAAAGTATATAATAATTTCTTAAAAAAAAAAAAAAAATAAAATGTCAGATGTGAAAAGATAATCGAGTAGAATCAGATATCAGGAATCCACAAATATAATAAGATAAAAAAATCAACATATTTATAGGATCAAAAAATAAAATTAAGAGTATAGAAAATTTATTTATAAAAAAATCAATATATAAAGAGAAAAGAATTGAAAACAAGAAATAAAAGAAATCTTATTAAATAGTGTAAAGTATGATGTGATGTAGTTGGATTTTAATCTCTATTAGAACTTGAATGAGTGATCCACAGTAGTAACCTGTAGACAATGATGTTAAAAGTTGGAAGAATCTTTATATGAACTATTAATAGAATAATAACTCACTTCTAAAGTTATACATAGAGAGATAATATAATCAAGACAAATGAGTTAGTTAAAAAATTAGCTTTAATACTTTATTTTATATATATAGCTTACAAATGTTTAATAAAACATATATAACTAACCTAACAGAGTATAAAAATAATTAGTTTAACAATTTATTAACAATAATTTTAATAATATTGATAAATAATTATATTTTCAAAATATAGTATAATTTTGGAATTGCAATTTTATATTCAAAGATTTTTTGTTTTATCTTCAAAAATAATCAAATAATCAATTTTTTCATTAAAAATGGTTCTATAACAATAGGTTTTTAAATAATATGTAAAAAAATTAAAAGTAAATAAGTTTATTTTCAAATAATTAGAAAAAAATTTATATCTATTTAATATAATATAATTTAATTTATATATTTAGACAAGGTTGTTTTAAAGCCTATAATCAATTTACATATATCGTATATATAAAAAAACAAATATGCCATGTATATTTAACATATCCATCATTCATGAAAAGGGGCGGCTTTCGAAGGGCAATCAACTCCCGACATACGTGCCCCTTTGCATTTCGGTTGTCTACAGTATATCCTTTTTATGGATAAATTGTTTATGTCTAAATTAAGAAATCGGAAACATAGGGTTTATATTTATGGATTAATGTTGACCCAAGTAGTTTTCCATCATACGTAACTTGTTCTGACAAGGTTAGTAATGTTGATTCGAGTTTGGTGAAATTAAAGACGAGAAGATTATTGTGAGCACCGATTTGTGTTCTATCGCTTTGATTTCTCTATCATCAAGCTGGTCAAGTGGTAGTGGCGTTTGCTGATCAGTGATAGGAATTCAACAAAAATCATGCCATCAAAAATACCTGTAATGTAGACCAATCGGGTTTTTCAGAATATTCAGAGCGTTTGTGTAACTTTTTCATACGATTACGTGAAGAAGCATAATGATCTAAAATTTTGGGCTCGACCAAACTCGCCTTAGTCTGTAAAATTGAAAATTGGCATGGAAAATTCAAAGATCGATGAAATTATTCGGAGAGAGCACATCGCATTTTACAAATATGACAGTTTCGAGAATTCCGAGGTCATCAAGCCTAATGTTTTCAGAGTTACTATGAAGGATTCCGATAAATTTATGGTTCTAAAGTCCATTAACCTTGACGATGGGTTTACAATAAAGGATCTTGTATATGAGGTGGGTGTAAGTAATGTGCGGTGGTTTGAAATTTGTTATTTTTGTTGATTGAATTTGGGGGCGGCGTCCTTTTTCAAAAAATCACAAAGATAAAGAAACATCAGAAGTTGGAAATCTGTGAAAATGTCGTGAAATTTTTTGGAGTCACAAAACAAGGTGTGTATGCGCGATAATGAGAAAGGAATCACGAATGTATGCTAAGTGATCCGTCGTCCATCTAGGTCGTTATCACAAAAGATTCATGCTAGTCCTCGAATATGCCAATGAGGGATCACTTCAACAATATTTAAAAGATAATGGTGCTAGCATGAATTGGGAAGCCAAATTAAACCTTGCGAGGCAAATTGCTGGTGCATTAAAAATTCTGCATGAAAACGATGTACTTCATGGAAATTTGGTAGACCATTCCTTCTTTTGGCCATTTTTCTTTTTTTTTCATTTGCTTGACAAGAGTGTTTCACATTTCCTTTCCTTTCCGTTAAATCAATAGAACTCTAGAAATATTCTTGTTCACAAGGGAACTATCAAAATAAGTGATTTTGGAAAACCAAGGTTAAAAAAATTTTTATTATCATTCCAGGATTCATTTCACTACACGGATTCTCAATATTTAGAAATTTGTAATAACATCTGGCGTCAAAAGGGTTCAGATGTTTACAATTTGGGTGTCGTTCTATGGGAGATTTCGAATGACAGCGAGGACACATATGAACTTAGAGTTGCACGGAATTCCTTGAAAGCCACTTTTAATACGAGTCGTAGGAGCAAACCTCATGAGTACGTGGAGATTTACACAGGTATATTTGTAATTTTCCGTTGTGGTTAACCGAACTCTTACTAAAAGTTAAGTGAATCACCCTCAGATTGTTGGCGAAGATGTGAGAGCGAGCACCCGGGCATTGAGAAAATTGTCGAAGATCTCAACAAGCTTGATCTTACGGCATACATAAACGAGGATTTTACTCGTCACGAAGATGTTATCGTAGAAGGAAGCAAGGGGGCAAATGATGTCTTAAGTTCTGATGGGTACGTGGATTGCATTCTCATTCGCAAAAGAAGAATGAATATCAGGTTAACCAATGAAATCTTTCGTTTAGAGGAATAAATGAACTTGGAGTGCACTCATCGTCAAAATCAACAACTTTCAAGATTCAAGACGCGGAATCGGATACATTCATCTTATATCTGTTTGATCTTTTTTCTGAACTG